CTGCACAGTGAAATAAAGAAATACAGGCTGCTTTTAAAAGGTGTGCTGAGAAACAGTAATTCATGGTACTGCTTTGGCTGTTTGAAATTCCAGAATGACTGGCTAAACCAGAACAGACAGTGGTAGGAGTGAGTCAATGCTAAAGGGATAGCACAATTTCACTGTTTAAGTCTATTGATTAATAGACTGAAAGTCTATGCTAGAGTTATATTTTGGGTTTATTTTTTTACTTACTTGTTTATTTTCTACAGGTTTCTCTAACTAACCTGGTTAGTTACTTGAGGAGACAGCTACTGAGCTATTTACCTCCAAAGCTGCAAAGGTCTGGAGAATCTGTATCCAAACCAGAAAATTGGTTTTCCTGAGAACATCTGTAAGTGCATATATCTCAGTTACCTAAGCCAGTGATGGCATGATCCAGAAGGACGTGGCTTTGACAATTATTGGACACTGCAGACCATAGTTTTGTCTGGTCTTTCAGAAAGTTTGTGGCCACCTAGCATGTTTTTCCAGGCAAACATACTCTGACAGGTGTTAATAAAACAGGTGTTTGGTTAAAATCCTGTGCCAGAGCTAAGGTTAAGAATGAAATGAAATAGCTAGGTACACTTAGGAAACACAAATAAACATTCAATGATGTTGTGATAAACGAGCAGCTATTTCTTTAAAACACAGCTTTAAAGGATTGACTTTAAAGTAATCTATTTTCAAAAGCAAAATGCCTTACTTTTTTTCTGCATTACTTATATTTGACTTAGATGGGAATACATTAATTTCATGTCATATGCTTGGAATGTGTGGAAAATAACATTTTTTCCATGTGAATCAGCACAGGAAATGATCTGCAAATGAGTAAAATGTTGAGAAGTCTACAGATGGAGGTTTTTTTTAAGAAAATACACAATGTTTTTCAACTGTAGAGTACTGACATCATATTTTTTTCAGGAGTGAAGTATCACAGAGATGATTGATGACACATCAGAGACTGAAGAAAAGCAAGAACTTACTTCTGATCAGCATAGTTTTAGACTGTAATCTGATGCAACATTAATTTTACAATATCCATCTTTGCTAGTGCTAGGCAGTTTTGCCTCCCTTTATTTGCCATTGCCAAAGCTTACCACATTCTTGCTAAACACAGAAAATGGCAGATAACATGAATCAACTCAGCCGTATTCTCACTTGATTTTCTTTTCACTGTGATGTAAAATAAAAAAACCCCAAAACCCAATGCCTTCTAAATGATGATCTAGTTATACATTCAATAAGATACTTTGATTTTCAAAATTTTTCCTTGCTGAGGTTAGATACTAACATAGTAATAAATACTACTACTAAGAACAGCAAATTAATATTTTTCTAAGAAAAATAATGTGAGAGGATATTCAAGCGTGGATATGTTTAGGAAAATATGTAATCTACCATGGAGCTGAAACCTCAGTCCTAAACTAATGAACACTAGGCACTCACAGCAGCAAAACTGTGGGTGTGAGAAATGAGTACAGATCTGCTCCAAGACACTATTGATTTGCTCTGAAATTACATAAACTATTACTGTTGAATTATTAATTAGAACTGATGATTTTATTGGAGTATTTGACACTGTAAGAAGCCACCATTATCCTAAAATGGATCCTCTGTGCACTCCTCAAACCTCCCTTGAATCTGAAGTTTCCTCCTTTATTTCATTTGAGAGAAAATTATTGCTTCTCTATCAAATTTTTCTTCTGTTTATTGAGGTGGAAATTGATTCCCAGTCTAGTACAGACAGCAGTTACACTTTGACTCCTGCCTTCAACGTGAGGTATAAAGCACATTATTAATACTGGTTTTTTCTTTTTCCAAATCAAATCAATAAACAGGGTTTCTTTTGAATACGTTGCACTGCACTCCCCGGGGTGCATAAAAAACATTTGAAAGAGTAAGTTTGCGTTATAATGATAGTAGTAAACATTGTCCTCTGAATGTTGAAACCAATTACATCTATTTGGTCTTTATCTTCTAACTGTACTTCTGCCAAATGAACAAACAGGCACACGGGCTGCATCCCAAAGGCAATATTTTGCTCATGCTGCCCAACAGTCAAGGAGAGATGATCAACATATTTTTTTTTAGGAAGATAAAGCTTCGCAAGCTTCAATTTCACCGTGAAAAGAGCAGCACAGGGAGCCTGCTGCCTCTGCTCCAAGTGTCCTGTTCACTCTGAAGCTACAGACAGATTCTGCCACACAAGTGAGATTGAAGCGTGCACTACAAGCTCATGCTATGCACAGTTCATCGTGCTGCCCTGTACCAGAGCTGCTTGGTTCATAGATCAGAGAGCCATTTAAGGTTAACCTGGAATCATTCTTGGTGGCAAAATTAAAACCATCTAAAGTCAAAACAGGATTTTCCTGGACTCTTTCCTCCAGTCTTCAAAACATGTGTCCGTCTTTGCCTTTATTCTCACCAATAAGGAATTTAAAGCCATAGGCTCATTACTCTTAAATGTCAGTGCCCATGAAAAATGCAAATTCAGAGTCCCTGAACAGAAGTGAAGTTTTTTCAGTCTGCCTTTGGGAGCCTGCTTTGAAAGGGTTTCCTGAAAAGCTGCCTGCTTTGCTTCACCATTCCCATAAGCAACAGTTGCATAACATATACAGATTAATTGAACTGCAAACAGTAACATCTAGATCTCCCATGCTGTTTAAAATGCAATACAGCAAAACCAGGCATGACTGCAGTAAGGATCAAAGAGAAAAGATTACAGGAATAGAGAAGTTGTTTGTCTACGAGAATTAGGGCATCTAGACTTTAGGGTATTATAAGGTAAAACACTTAGCATCTTTCCTGCCTTACCTCCAAGAAAAGATGAGCTGGAGGAGGTCAGAACAATTCACCTGACTCAGACTACCACTAGACAAAATAGGTCGCGTTAGCTTCTTCAGCAATTATAAAAGGCTTCTCTAGCTAATGAAGTGGCTGAGACACAGAACAAAAATCCAAAACGCTCAAAGGATAGAAGAAAAAGTCCAGAAGGCAGGTGGGGTTAAAGCTGATGTTTTGAAGCCTGGAACTATGCTTCAGGACTTTCCTATTCCAGGCGGACACAGATTGCCCAGCAAAGGAGAAGGCCATGGGTGTTTATGAACTGGATTTACTCCCTGCAAAGTTTGCTGCCAGTAATAATCCATCTTGAGCACAAGTATTTTGAAACACTATTGCTGAGTTGTGCAGATTTGTGATGATACTAATCTCCACACAACTTCACAAGAAGCTGCCAGAAATGCAAAGAACTTATATTTGCAGTATATATTTGTGAAACCAAGCTTTGGTAGAACATCCATCCACATTACAACAGGAGACAAGTTCTGGGCCTGTTTCCATTTAAAAAGTTATTTCAAGTAACTAATCTTCCAGACTTCTTTTCAGTCTCTGGACTGTGAACTTCCCTGATACTGATGCTTTACTCCTCCTCTCTTTCATTTATTTTACCACTTCAAGTAGAAAAAAATTTAAAAGACTGGAAAATAACACCAAAAATTTAGGGTTAAAATTCCTCAGTTTCCTTGGATTCAGTACAGCGGTGGTGCAGAGAGGATGTGATTTAATTTATGGAGGCAGGATTGTCTTGCATCAGATTTAATGTTCTTTAGACAGCTGCCTTTTCCAAAGAACATGAGTTCCTCATTCAAGTGGGGAACACTGAGCACCCTCATCTGAAAAATGTTGAGCAATCCCATCAGCATCTTTCAAGAACTTACCATACTGTTAGCTGAAAGGCAGTGACTTCCATGCCAAGGGGCACAAATTTCTTACAGTAAGCTAGACAAATTACTGACAATATTTTGTACTCAAAGACCTATACTACCTCTACATGAAGCTATACCAATTTTTAACTTCTTGTCCTGCCTTAAAACTTGGAAATCGTGTCCCTCACTTTCACATGGGTAAACTGCCGCTGAATTAATTCCTGATCTACTGTTCTGGGACAACTATATGATACATAGGCAAGAAAACCAAATCATGCACAACGCCCTAGCCACAAGGATGTGAATTTCTAGGATCAGATTTCTGATTAGCAACTCCTGCAGCTTCTTACAGTGGCAACCGTTCATGTTCTACATCTTCAGCCACTTGCATTTCTTTCCTGATCTGTCCTTGCACAGCCCCACAGATGAACTGAATGAAGACGGCTTTTTAGGTATTCACACTGCACTGAAAATTACCTTATACATTACCTTATGGAGTTTTTCTCTGCATACTAGAGAGAATAATAAAATTAGCTCCTCTGTGTCAGTCAGTCAGTCCCTTCCAGGAACTTACATTCTCATGGACAGTTTCAGAGAGCAGACTGGCCTATCTTTCAGAGGTATAAAGTTAGTGTGGGGTTTTGTGCACAACAGGGATCAGGCAGAAGGATACCAAGAAAGTCTGCAGTGTAAGTTTAACTGTTATAGTTGTTCTGTTGACCTGGTCTCCCAAAACATGTGTCCTAGATAGCCAACACACACACACACACACAAGTAGATCAGAGCCTCTCACCCAGCAGATGCTACTTCTTGTCAATTAGGTGACAGTGAGACAGCTGGAGGAGGTAGATATGGTCACCACAGTGAAATGGAACTGGGAGCAATGCAGCAGACACAAGGAGCAGGAGAGTTAGAATTACTGCTGTGGAAAAGAGTGAGGATACCAGACACAAATTTGCAAGATGGATTTCTACTTCTTCTAGTGCATCATACAAGAGAACTTGTGCTTGGTACTCAGTATAACCTGAATGACAGAGGAATTTGACTGCAGTTGAATTCCTCACCTGCAATTTGTGACAACAGTATGCATCTACTAGGCAAGACATCTGTCAACAAATATAGAACTCGTGCTAACCTGTGGCAGATGTGACATAAGTCTCTATGCATGAATATTCTCAAGTTAACATCTAGGTTCACAGAAGTTATAGAAAGGTCATCCTGCAAGTTCTAGCATGGACACCCACACAGATTTAAAATACTTTTTCTTACCAACAATCATATGGTTGCAGACATCGCAGAAGGTGGGTTTTTTGAAGATGTGCTCCTGGAAGATGTGAGTCTTGTTGTTTTCTGGCAGCTGCTGGGTTCTGGTGGGAGAAGATGCCTGGCTTTCTGAGTTGGGGAGCTGTCCAGTGCTTGTGCTCACCTCAGGCATCAAGTCTACCTGCAGTTTCACATCGCTATTAGTCCTCTGGAAGAAATTGTCTGCACTTTTACTCCGCAAGCTTTTCGTCTTGAAGGAGAGTGATCGCTTCAGTTTCTGCAGCTGCAATAAATAAGCCAGTTATAATTACTACTTTTTCTACTTAAAAACCAATGCAAGGCTCCTGGTTTTGGGGTGTGCTGTTGCCAAGTGAACCTTGAAGCCACTGGTAGACCTTGAACCACCTGAACAATAAAGCTGACTTTAGAATTTAAATGGTAGTTTTTGAGCAAAGAAAGCAGATCCCAACCAGAAAACAAACTACACTACAGATGCTTTCTGACAATAAACTTGATAACCCTAATGAATGCTTTTATTGATCTTCACTTTCAGATATGACAGTATAGAGGTGCTGCTGAAAGTTGTATGCATTGGAGAATATATCCTTTATATTCCAGCATGAGGGAACTTAAAGTATTATTAATCCTCTAATAGTATTTAAGCAGCCTATAAAGCCATTACAGGAAGAGCTGTTAAATGGCAGTGCAAGACGAGTGAACTCAGTAAATATATTTAATATATTTAAATTTCTTGAATTTGGCAGAAAAAGAGTTTATATGCAGTTTTGACTGCTGTCTTGTGCCATATCAGCAATCCTTTCATCCTTCAAGCCTCCCCTCCATTTCCCAATTTTATATGAGGCTCATAAGGGCACTAGGTGAGGCACAGAAGCTATCAGGATATCAGCCACGCAAATTTGCGGGTCCACAAATTAGGGGCCAGGTAAAAGGAAAAGAAGCTCTGCATCTACTTCATATTTACCTTCTCCAAAGTGCAATAACCCTGTATCACATTTCACTCAACATTATTCTAACCACTGCAAAATAATTTCAACCACTGCTGCTATTCTCTGGGTGACTGTGATGTAACAACTGAAATTTTCCATGCCTCTCAGGCTGTCTGTGGTGAGCAGCAGGAATGGTTTATATTAGAAACTGTTTATGTTAGAAGCAATGATGATTGGGGACTGTAATTCACACTAATATAAAGGGAAGGAGTTCACATGCTTTCCCAAAAAAGCATGGCACTGGTCTGTCACACTGACTTACTGGCCTCAGAGCACTTGCTCTCCCTAAATTTTATTCCTGATCTACCCATTTTCTTTATGACGCAGCTGAAAGTATGCTGTTGGAGAGGAGAGGCAAGACAGCTTGCGGGGGATGCCTCTCTTCCACCTTCAGAAGCAGCTTGTTCCTGGAGAGGGAGAGACCAGCTTTTTTCCCTAGTGTGTCTCAATAAACTCCCTGAGTCAAATGAATGGAGAAGGAGCTGCCATTGTCTCCAGTTAATAGTGTTTGTGTTTGCTGCAGGGAACCAAACTGCATTCTGCTTGCTGAACTGTTCCTCCACAGTGGCTTTCGGAGTAGGGAGGAGTCAGAGCCTGGGGACGCTCTCACATGTATCACTCTCGCCCCCAACTCACTCAGGTTTCAGAGGAGGAGCCCTGGATTCAAACGAAGGAAATACCTATTTGCAAGGAACTCTCAGTCTCTAGGGGAATGTGAAAATAAGAGCAATTAAGTCATTAGATGCCAATGATGAGGCAAATGCAGTTTATGGTTTCTGAAGCTTTTTCAGCTGAAGCCTAAGCCATGGACTTACTAAGCCCAAAAATCACTGTACAACTGCACTATCAGAATATGAGATCTTCCCTCTTCTTCTTGGATGTTGAGTTACCAGCTCTTGAAATCACTGAGGTTATTCTGTTCTGAGATTACTTCATCTCCCCAGTGACAGCCAGGAACTCAGCAGTAATTCACCCCCTTGCTCCTGAAACACTTCTCACTGAAGTCAGACCTAATTAGTGTAGCAAAAAACAGAGAATTACAACACCACAAGGTGACTGAGATGGCATCCATTATTGATTTGCCATCCATTTCTACAGTGCCACATGAAGCTAATTAAATTTCAAAACACTGCTTCTGCCAGAGAAAGAAAACTAAGCTGTGCAATACAGTATTGGTTTTATATTGAAACAACTATCCTGCTAGTTTGGACAATGTAAGCAGTATATTTGAAGAAGCTCTGCATTTACTATCCTTATTCCATTCTGTTGTGCACAGCCATTTGCCAGTCAAGGGATGTAGCAATGGCCTTTCCTCCCCCAGGCAGAAAAGTCAACAATTTTCCAAAGAAGCATAGTCCTGTATTCAGTCTATGCATACCCAAACAGATACAAACACACTAAGGTGAGCATGAAACTGTGCATACTCCATATGCATCCCCATCCAGAATGTTCAGAGGACACATAGTCAAGAATGAGTTGACCAAGTTACCTTCACAGATTTGGCAGATATCTCTGCACAAGCTAATAGTCCTCTCTGAGATTCCCTGAGTACTGTCTTGTGTTCATGTGCTTAAATAATTCCCAGACAAGATAAGCATCCTTGTCATTAGCCAAATACAGATTTTATTCTCATTTGCATTCAGACTGGAAGACATATACATGTTTGGCTTACATTGCCTATCTAAAACACCAGTGGAAGTCTGGGACTATTATATCCCAAATAGGTTATATGTGTACAGAAGGACTATGCAAGAATGCAGAATATTGGCAATGTTTAGCATTTTCAACACCTAATTATACACTTTCATCAGTACTGTTAAAAAGTACCCCTCAGATCAGTGTGTTTTATAACCCTCATGTATAAGTGAGAGTATACAGGGCAATAGAAAATTGGCATCAGGTTTTAAAATTAGATCCAATTTTCCTTTCTCATATTAGGCCCATGAGAGAATTTGAAATAGGGTACTGGTATGTGATTGTTTACTCAGGAAAAGTTGGCTGAAGCAAGGGCAAGTGCAGGTTGTTATACAGTTAGAATAAACTATAAAACCATAAAAGCTTAAGTGATTATTAGGCCACAGCCAAGTGGACATTGCTTCCCTTACTTAAACATCACCATCTCCTTATTTTGAAATTTGCTGTTCTTTTATTGCAAGATTTCAAAAGTAATTAAATATGGGCATGTAATATATGCCTGATTTTTGTCTACTGTAAACTGATTTAAAGCACTTGTAATGCCACTGGCTTCTAATAGAGCTGCTATAGTGTTCACCTGAGGCAGGAATCAAATCTTTCAGTAGAGAGCAATACTCTCAGTAGAGAGTATGCAAATTTTAATATTTTTATTTTCTTTCTGTGGAGTGAATGAGTTCAAAGTCAAATCTTAAGAAGAATCACTACTAAACTTTTGAAAAAACCTGCAGCTAGGGTTGTTCTACACTCTACTTACTTCAACACTTCAGTGAAAAATCATGGACTGAGAATTAAATAAAACCTTAAACCAAGCACAAAACAGCTCTAAGAAATGTATTTGAAATAAATCTCCTAATCCTTTCCCATTTTCCCCTCTGCAAGCAAGGCTACAAATTAGCTTTCATTTAAATAAAAATAAAATTCCCAGAAGCACAGGACTTTTTCTAGACTTGGGGTAACATCAGAAGACTTCACAACTTTGAGAGTTCAGAAACATGAACCCTTGCTATTAAATCCAGGATGTTCCTGTGGTTTGAAATTTGAGTAAAGGAAAAAAAGTTTGTCTCTGGTTAAAAGCTTTTTATCAGTCACACAGACGCTCGGTGACTGCACATACTAACCCCACAGGCGAGATAGAGATAAGTGCAACGGCTCAACCTCAGCGCTTGATTAAGCTTTTTTTTTTCTGTATCTCGCAGCAAAATCTCAATTTTTTTCTGAGTCCCTGAATGTTCAAGCTTCAAGGAATCAGGAAGCTCTGACAAACCACAGCTTATCAGCACCTCCTCTGTTCCTAATGCCCCTATACTACAACGCTTTAGCTGTTATAAGCAGAAAACAGAAGGCAGCAAAAGAACAGCTATTCAAACTCACTCCTAGTATTAGCTAGGTGCCACCGCTTTTGCTGTGAATGGACATTGCACTTGAGCTCACTGAGACTTCATTTTATGTAACAGAAGCATCCAACGCTTCTCTACAATTTTCATTTAAGTAATTCCCACTGAAGTTGGAAAGATATCAGTGATTTGAGCTGTTTTATAATTCCTAGCTTTGTAGTTACAAAGATATTTGTCCACCCTGCAGAGTACTTTTTTTCAGACTCCTAACTGCTCTCTGATATCTAGAAACTCATTTTCCCTTTATCCTCCAGCTTGTTTACATTAGCAGTCAGTGTGGCTCCGTAGAAGCAGATTGGAGAAAGAAACAGGGACTGTTGAGGACCCAGCATGCCCATTGTATGCATTTCGGGACACAGAGTGCTTTGCTCTGAACCATACCAGCCCATCAGTACTGGCATGCATTAGGTGCTCACCTGGAGCACAAGCAAACCCTCAGGTGATGCAGCCTGTGCCTAGAGCACACGGACCAAAGTGAGGTGAGTAGCAGCAATCTCAAACTGGGAGATTTACTTTGAAAACACACTCCCAAAATGAACTAAAACACTATGATGGGTTTCCCTTATTCCTTCACCATTTCTCAACACAATTTCTTCATCTCACCTTCTCACCATTCAAAACTCGGAGAAAGCATCACTTCCACCACATCCTACACACAAATGCTTCATTCCCCTTCCTGAAGCTCAATCCTTAGTGATCTCAGTGAATGGTGGTTACTAGGGGGTCAAAGTGTATATTGCATTACTTTATATTATATTATTTTGTTTGCTTGGGCCATGAGCTTTAGCATTCAGGGCAACCCTTGTGGAATCTGCCCACATCAGCTTATTTCCCAACATGCCTGGTCTTGTTGCCTTCTCAGTCACTGCTAACAACCCTGCCAGCAGCAGAGGCTCCTGTGCAGAGTGGAGCCAATGGGGAGATTATTTTTATACATTTCTACTGTTAACTATCTTCCAGGAGAAATGAACACATCAACTGAACTTTACTGACCTAATATACAACCAAGCCCTCGTTTTCAGACAACAGTTGTCTGCTATATGGTTGCTGTGCTAGCAAGAAACAAAAAATATTGTGTGCTCTTCTCTATCACTTTCTTTACACTATCATTACATTTCTTTACAATATCATTAGATCCATAAAAAGTAATACAGGGTATTAGCAGAGTTGGAATGAACCATCAAGCC